ATAAAACCTAAATTATAAAACTTCTAGAGGAAAATATTGGAGAAAAAAATACGTGTGACCTTGTGTTAAGAAATCCCACTTTAGTAAATAAAAAAAAGCTATGACACCAAAAGTATAATTATAAAAGAAAAAAAAAGTGATAAATCGGACATCACCAAAATTTAAAACTTCTATTATTTGAAAGATACTGTTAAGAGACTGAAATCACATACTGAGAGAAAATATTTACAAACCCTATCTTTTTTTTATCAATTACAGTTGACATACAATATTAGTTTCAGGTATACAACACAGTGATTAGACATTTATATAACTTATGAAGTGATCACCCTGATAAGTCTAGACACCATGATTTATTATTATAATATTATTGGCAATATTCCCTATGATGTACTTTACACCTCCATGACTATTTATATAACTAGCAATTTGTACATCTTAGTTCTTTCCCCACTTTCATGCATCCCCCCAACCTCCAACCCATCTGGCAACCATCAAAATGTTCTCTTTATCCATGAGTTTGTTTGTTTTGTTTGTTTTAGAGTCCACAAATAAGTGAAATCATATGGTATTTGCTTTTCTATGTCTGACTTATTTCACTCAACATACTACTGTCTAGGTCTATCTCTGTTGTTGCAAATGGCAAGATCTAATTCTTTTTTATGGCTGAGATAATACTCCATTGTATATATGTACCACTTCTTCTTTATCCATTCATTTATTGATGGACACTTAGGTTGCTTCTATATCTTGGTTATTGTAAATAATGCTGCAATGAACACAAGAAAGCATATGTCTTTTTAAATTAGTGTTTTGGATTTCTTCAGATAAATACCCAGAAGTGAGATCGCTGGGTCACATGGTAGTTTATTTTTTAATTTTTTGAAGAACCTTCATACTGTTTTCCATAGTGGCTGCACCAATTTACAATTCCACCAACAATGTACAAGGGTTCCCTTTTCTCCACATCCTTGCCAATACTTGTTGTACAAACCTTATCTCTTAAGAGGAATTATATGCAGAATATATATTAGAACTCTCAACACTCAATAAGAAAATAAACTCAATTTTTAAAAAAATAGACAAAGGATTTGAAAAGAGACACTTCATCAAAGATACAAAGATGGCAAAAAAGCACATAAAAAGGTGCTCAATGTCATTAGGCATTAGGGAATATAAATTAAAACCACAATGAGATAACACTACACAGAAATTAAATTGACCATATCAAGTGCTGGCAAGAATATGGAATAGCTGGAACACCCATAATTTGTTCGTGGTAATGTAAAATGGTACAACCATTCCAGAAACAGATTATAATGATTGCCAATGAAATATAATCTCTGCAAGGAGGAAGACAGGGACCTAAGAGGAATGAAAATCAGTGAAAAGGTGGTATGGTCAATGGCTTGTAGGAATCAAAGGAATGCTAGAGGTGGGGCCTCACCGGGAGTGAACTGGACATACAAGCGGTAGTGACAGATAGAGGGAGACTTGAACTGAGGATCATGGCTATACTGGCAACAACTAAGAGAATGAGCGATGGAGTTAGAGGTTGCCGATAAGGTTGTTAGAAAAGATGTTGTCAAGGAAATGAGAAAACAGAGTAACAGGAGGGTCATCTTCCTAGGTACTGAAACCACCAAAAACAACAGAAGCAGTAATGTTAGGAGAGTGACAGTGAGACAGGAGCAAACATCTTCAGGGAAGGTGAGAGAGTGACACAGAGATGAGTAAATGACTAATATAATGGTCCCCCAAATCCACGGTTTCGGTTTCCACAGTTTCAGCTACCCACAGTCAACCACAGTCCAAAAATATTAAATGGAGAAGTCTAGAAATAAACAATTCATATGTTTTAAACTACACACTGTTCTGAGTAATGTGTTGAAATCTCACGCTATCCTACCTGGGACGTAAGTCATCCCTTTGTCCAGAGTATCCACACTGTATACCTACCCACCCGTTGGCCACTTAGTACCATCTCAGTTATTGGATCAACTTTTGTGGCATCACAGTCCTTGTGTTCAAGTAATCCTTACTTTACTTAATAATGTTACATTCACATAATTTTTATTATAATTGTTATTTTTATTGTTGTTGTTAATCCCTTACTGTACCTAATTCATAAATTAAATGTTATCATAGGTATGTATGTATTTTAAAAACATAGTAAATATAGGGGTCTGTACTATCCACAGTTTCAGACATCCACTGGATCTGTGTTGGGGATATGTGTTGGAACATATCCCCTACAGATAAGGGAAGACTAGCATATAAGGAAAAGTGGATTCAGTCTATTCGTTTATCTTTCTGAATCTCAGTTTCTCCATTTGTAAGTATGCTGGTAGACCTTCCATCACGAGGTTTTTACAAGGATTGAGAGTGATAAGCAAGTAGAACATCTGTCACCCACTGTAACTGGCAGACTTCGATGTGCAGGAATATTAAGTAAATTTTAAAGGGCATCTGCTAAGTCTCAGATGTGTCTCATTCACCTCCAACTAAAGTTGAGGAGTGTGTGTTAGAAGGCTCACTGAGCTCAGGGTCACCCATGACAAACCATAGTCATCATAATCCCCCAGAGATGGTCACCTAAGACTCTCTGGTAAGCCTGGGCCAGGCCATGACCCTCCTCTCTGTAGCTATTCATATCCACGTCATCTCCGTCTTCCTGGCAGACACAGGGTCTCTTTGTCTCTTCCATCTGCAAACACCAGGCTTGCTGCCTTCCAGCCTGAGTGTTTAATGCAGGAGATAAAAATGTAACTACTTGATCTAGTGTATCTCCCCTTTTTATGGCCAAGCTAGCTGAAAGAGCCCAGGGAAGAGAAAATCTCCAGTGAAATGATGCCTTGTTTTCTGAACTGCACTGGACCCAGAGACATGCAGAGGCTCTGGGGCAGTACACTCTGACTTGCTCCTAGCACAGGGAGCAAGGACCAAGAGCTGGGTCAAGCCCTTTCCACTTCTTTGCTGTATCCTTCCATGCGTTTAGCTCTAGATAGGCATTACCACCAAGAGATGAGGTCTTGTCTACTAATAGAGAAGTTTGTGTTTTACCAGGAACAGACATCAATATTCAGAGATTCCTTGTTCTTGAGAAAGAGACAATAAAGTTGATGGAGCAAAGAGCCAAAGATTCAGGAAAACTGTGTTGCAGCAACAGGACTACCAGAGTTGAATGGGTCCATGTGATAAGGTGACCCTTCTTGTCCATTTTCCTGAGCCCAGTGTCCCTTGAACCTCCCACTGCTGGTTCATCAGGGCTCTCAGAATCTCTTAGCTGGGACAAGACACGAGCAAGTTTATTTAGCATTACTCTCGTGCAATCCTGAGAGTGGATCCCTAGCCTCCTCTACCTCACACTAGTCAGTGACCACATTTTCTTTGTTCATTGCCAATTTCATTGCCTAGTACATAGTAGGCTCTCAAGAAGGAAGGAAGGAAGGACGGACGGAAGGAAGGAAGGAAGGAAGGAAGGAAGGAAGGAAGGAAGGAAGGAAGGAAGGAAGGAAGGGTGTCAGGGATGGAGGAACACACAACGCAGCTCTTTGTGTCACCACCCAGCTCTGTGCTAGGTGCCAAAACCTAGAACATTCAAAGTATCTTCTCTGAATTTTTCTCCATGACAATCTGCCTGAGCTGAGCAGTCATTCATTTTTCTTTCTAGCATTTCCCTTCTTCTCCCTAAATTTTATACATATTAAAAATGGGCGGCCACTCTCATCTGAAAACATTTTCTTGATCCTTTTCCTAGCTAACAAACATTTACTTACCTCATTCTCTAATGCAAAGTGACATTTTGATGCAGCAAACTGGAAGGAGACAAGAATCATTAATTCAGAAAAATGGCCGATCTCCTGCAGTTTGCTAGGCTCCCACTTATTTGCTGAGGAATCCAAGCTCTGGAAAAGCAAAACTGCACTATTTACCAACTATCAGTTACCAACCTAAAGCTGCTGTCATTAATTAGCACTGAAAGTGATGTTTGTCTCTTGTGTCCTTTCTGAATAGACTCCAAATAGACTTGTTTCAGTTACAAAACCAATAAGAAAGCCTCTAGAGGAAAATATTTGGGGAGAATAGTGGTACAAGAGTGACAAGAAATACTCTTTTGTCCAACATTTTGGATCATTATCTGGAATTGATGCAGTCTGTTTGGGGGAGAGAGAAGTTGGCATGTTACTAGAAAAAGAAGTCAGCCTCTCAAAGATAATTTAGAAAGGCATGCCTAGGGAAGAAAAGAGAGAACTCCAGAGGCAATGAAAAAAAAAAAAAAAGGTCAAGGTCCAAAATTTTTATTCAATAGCCAAATAATTTAAGGAGCCATGATTCAACATACAAAAGGATTTGTGGTAAGAAAGAATCCTATTAGATTTAAATTACATTTGGTTTTTAAATTTACAATTTAATAAATTTCCCAGCACATTAAAAAAAAAAAAGCACACCCATATACATTTTTTCCCCAATTTTAGCACATCAGTCGTGTCTTTCCAGTAAACTTCCTGTGTAGAGCAATTACTATTATGGATTGGTGGTAAATGACTGAAGCGTTATTTCCACCAGCCTTAAAAGTTCATTTTTTTACTACTCCTCTCTCAGAATTGAAGGACTGCTGCTTTGAAAGAGCCCAGGATGGGCTTTGGCAAGCATCAGAATCAGAGAACTTGACTGAAAGACAGATTCCTGGGTCTCATCCCAGGAATTCTGACTCAATAAATCTGTGACAGGGCCTGGTACCTGCAGTTTTAGCAGGGATCCAAGGTGACTCTGCTGCAGGTGGCCCATGGAACACATGAATTCTGGCTTAGAGAAGATGTCCTCTAGGCTGTTGTGTCAAGAGAAATTGCCCTGCCTTCTGGACCCAGCACATTCCCTGCTTCAAATGCTCTCCATATCACACTTGGTGAATAGGTACTGATAAATACGACTGTATTGGGCAAGCCAGTCTGTGGGGCTCAGTGTGACACACCTCTGATTTCTCTTTATTCTATTAGAACGATTACAGGAAGTTATCTATGCAATGCAAGGATTTTGTGGTGGGCGTGCTGGACCTATGCCGAGACACGGAAGAGGTGGAAGCAATTTTAAATGGTGACGTGAACTTCCAAGTCTGGTCCGATCACCACCGTCCAAGTCTGAGCCGGATCAAACTCGCCATTAAATACGAAGTCAAGAAGGTAAGCTTCCCCACCTCTCCTGGCCTTCTCACCTGGCAGGACTGCTGACCTAGCTTTGTGTTCATTAATATTTTATGTTCTCACAAGGTGACAGTAACAACAACAATTACTCAACTTCTCTCTAGACAGGGAACTGCCAGCCTGGCAGGACTACTAAGAGCTCCTCTCACCATCCTGTTTCCCTTCTTCCCCAGCCTATCAGGAGAGAGAAAAAGAGTGTGATAATCATTCCATCAACAGGCTTTGAGCCTCGAGAACTGAAGAGATTTTTTTCAGCCTCTAACCACTGGTAGGGACAATGTCACTATGAGTGTTCCCATCAGCTAGCAGGTCAATACCCAAATTTTCATCAGAAACATATTACTAAGGTTTTTCAACAGCATGTATTGAGCTTTTTCTGTGTGTCTAGGAACTCGTTATGTAGAAAATGCTTTAGTGTTAAGGCTTTTGTGGGATCCATGGTTCTGGGAGGCTTCGAAGAATTTCACTCCCAAGGCTTATGAAAGTCCACAGTAGGAAGCTTGAGTCAATTTTCATAAGAACAAGCTCGTTCCACCTCCTCAATTGACCTCAAGGTGTCTTTAATGGCCACTAGCACCCAGTAGCTCTCAGACCCACAGTGGCTGGTCAGACTGAGGTCCTAAGAACCAAAACTCAATTATGTGTCCACTTTGGATGTACTCTGGATTCTTTAGAATGTGCTCTTATGTTATATAATGTCAATTCATCCTCATGAAAACTGCAGAGCTCCGAAGATCATGTGTTTAAATATGAATGTGCTGTCCACATAACAAGATAGCTAATCAGTCTTTCAGAATTTATTTTTTTTCCTTAGCTATTTCACAGGGTCAATACTGGGGATATTTTCAATACCCCCAAAACAGCCTCTGGGTATTTTTCCCCTTGCCTGAGTATCTTGTTTGGGGTGAACCATCCTTTAACAACTCACGTGTATCTCTGGAATTCATCTAGAGAGAGCTTCCAAGTTTGATAAAATCTTCCTGCCCTTTTACTTTTAACAATAACCAAAAATTTTAAGAAAAACAGTTTTTTTAAAAGATTCTGAGTCCCAAAGATAAAACTGATAAATCATGGGAAGGTGGCCTTAGATTAATATTCAAAAGCATAGATTGATAGGAGGAGAAGAGTCAGGCTGCAGTTTCAAGTACAATCCTATTTTCTGAACTCAGGGAAACTCATTTTTTAGCCTACCCCAAGAACTCACAGAGGTTTTTCATCAAAGTACAGCAATCTCTCCTGAAGCTGCTGAGATATCCATGGCCTTGAAGGTCAAACAAACCCTGCTGTGAATGGTAAAGATGGGTTTGAGCTTCCAGAACCAGAAGCATTTCCTTCCTTCCCCAGGCCAGAGCATCTTCCTGCTTCCCAGCAGAGGGTGAAAGGTGAAGCTGTCTTTGAAAAGCCAAAGAACAGGTGCTTGGCATTTGTAGATTTACATTCACAGTTTTAGATATTTAGGAGCAATTCCAATAACCTATGAAATGTAGGCATTCACAATTTTTCTGAAACATAAATCCAAATCTCTTAGCAAAACGGTCATTGAAGGTAGATGAGTCAGCTAGTCCAGAAATCTGGCCACCACTTCAGAGCTACATGTTCCCCCTCATTGTCAACTACCAAGTACAAAATGGCTGTGGTGATGAATGCAAAGAAAAAGTGAAACTGTCCATGAACATGACGGTTTGGGCCAGAATAAAAAGGTTTTATGAGGAAAATCATTTACTCTAGTGGTATTTGACGAATAGGGGGTCGTAAAGGTCTCAGGAAACAGCCATCATGAATGTCAAGTGCCTGCTGCAATCCGTACGGAGGACGATGATAAACGACCCACATAAAATGTCAGCTTTGCTCATTTCAAAGACCTCCCATCTCTTGAACCGTGTATGCCATCAGGTGACAGCAGACAGACTCACGGTTTTCCTCGACATTTATTCTATTGTTGTTTACCAGTGAAAATGTCCAATATTAAAAAGGCTTATTACTATTATAATGAGAATTCAGTTTTAATTTCTGGACTTTAGCAGGCTGGCCTGTGCACAATCTAACCCTGGGTCACTGAGTGAAGGAACAACTAGCACCGAGGCCCATTCACGAATACACTTTCACAACTGACATACACACACACACACACACACACACACAGAGTCTTACAAATGAAATATAAAACCATGAAAAATTCCTAACACTCTGCCCATGTGATATCAACTCGAACCATTAATTCACTGATCAAAGCAAACTAGTTGTTCCTGGTAGTTTCATGGGCTGGTAATAGGTGTGACCTTAAGAAAAGGTTTTGTGTTCAAACAAGTCAAATAGACTTCTTTGTTAAAGAAATTACAGAACCTTTAATATGAATTGATACTCTAAAAAAAAAAAAAAAAAGGGAGTATAATATCTATTACTTAACCACGGAACTCTATTTCTCATAGAACATCTGGTGAAACCAGTTGTCCACGTAACAGTCTTTGGGAAACTCTAATATAGAATCAGCCTATATATCTACGAAGTGCATAAATCTGAATGGGGTGGGTGCTGCCTTGTGGCTGGTACTGCACCCTAGATCCTGTCCTTCATCTGAATGTCTGCCTCTCTTCAGGCACTACCCTAATGCCTGGTCCCCTGGCTGGCTCAGTCGTAACGTCATCCTCCATTAGATAAAGACAATAGTCCCACCATGGAACATGGGACCACTTGGTAACAAGGAAAGAATCATGAAGTAAGTGTCAGGAGATCAAATTTCTAGCATAATTCTTACAGTTACTAGCCATGTGGTCTTGGGCAAGTCTTTGAAGTTCTCTAGGCCTCATTCCCCAGCTGCAAAATGGACATATGAGTGTGTTTGCTTCACAAAGTTTTCTGTGAACTTTCAAATGAGTTGATATGAGGAAATGCTCTAGAAACTAAAGTTCTCTGCAGCAACACGAGGAAGCATCACTGCTGTCATTCAGTGATGTCCTCCTTCCTTGGGATTATAGGGATCCTTTTATCCCTGGAGACACTCCCTAGCTTGTCCTTTGTTATCTCCCCAGAGAATACTAGAAATGTTCCCCCGACTCCCCCGTGTAAGGACATCATGCTTATAGCCTAAAATGTCTCCCAAAAAGACCAAAGGCCCCATGATAACATGGTGATTCTCCATGACCTCTACCTTAAAAGGGTAACTCAGTCTCCTCAATAACCCATGTAGATGTGTCATCTGAAATGTTAAACACTGTGTCTGGAAGGCAGTGTTGGAGAAGTGGCTAAGACGGTACTCTCTGAGGTTAATCCTGGTCCAACCACTTATTCATAAGATCACTTGAGCAAGTCACTTAGCCTCTCTGTGTCTCACTTTCCTCATCTATAAAATTTGAAGAATAATGCTTACTTCATAAGATTACAAGAATTGAATGGGATAAAGTACGTGTGCCTCACCAGCCTGTGGGTATGAATGAGGCAGTATTAATTCACACATTGTACTGTCCTAGAGTGAATGCCCACATAAGACATTTCTGTTATCCATCTCAGTTCATCCCAACTTTTAAAGGTACAGTCCCCTCAGAAGCCAAACTTGCCTCATGAAAAAGCAAGGATGCTTCTCTTCCTATGCTGAATCACACTTAAGCTCAAAAGTGACTCCACTGTGCCTCATGGATAAAGAAAACAGCTTTAGCCTGAAGCACCCATATATAGAGGCATTAGTCTTCTCCTCCAAGGCCAATCCGAGTAACAGACATCTTGCTGTCTTCTCCATTTCTATCCGTCTCTGTCCCCAGGGAACCATGCCTAAATATCCCTCTTTTCTCATTCTGCATATCAACTCTAAATAAATGCTTAGGGCACTTCCATCCTACCAGCTGAAAAGACCTAACATCTCTGAATCTGTTTTGGCTCAGTTGGGCCCAGGCTGCACCCATAAAATAAGCCCAGTGTCTGGCATGTGGTCATTGCTAAGTGACCAGTCACAGAGACCCAGATACAATCCTTGGTGCTCTATTCAACTTGTCTGAGGGCACACATCTGGGCCCTTCACTCTCATGCCTCCCTCTCTCCCTCTTTATAGCTTCTTCATCTCTAGGCTTACAGGGAAGTTATGTTCTTTCTCCTGTATCACTTCTTCCTTCTTCCTAACTCCAAGTCTGTCTTAATGAGGATCAGGTGAATCTCCTGTTCACCGAAAGAACTTTGCAGGCCTGAGTCCTGAGGGCTCAACTGCCAAGAGAGAGTGAGACAAAAAGACCCTAAAGGTCCTATTTTACATGGTAGAGGCCGTAACTCCACCTTCAGAGGAAGTGCATGCCCCTTTGGACATAACTAAGCTACATAACGTCTGCTACAAAAAAAAAAAAAAAAAAGGAAAAAAAAAAAAAACACGAAAATTTCTGTCAAAATTGTATTATTCCTATTGCAGAAAACATATCTCTTATCAGGCAATATCACCAGTAAGGATGGTAAGTTCAATCTGACAAGCTGTTTTAGCCATCACCTCTGAGCTGTACAGACACTCATCGGCTTGCTGGGGATCCTGAAGAGAGTCTTGCCCTGAAAGAGTCATCAGTGTGGTGGGTGAGGTAAAGACAGGTATGCTATGACTACCGCAGCAGCAGCCCCTGCACTTCACTAGCCGAGCAAAACAGAGTTCACAGCAGTTACCTCTTTTGGACTTCCAGTTCTAGCACCCTGGCATGTGGCTTGATCTGAGGAATCTAATCAAGGTGCCAGCAACCTTTCCTTCAAACTCCTCACTCTCCTTAGGAAGCAGCTCCATTCTGCCGAGCCTTCCAGTCCCTGGATTTTCAGAGGTGTCCTTTCCTGACTCTGCCAAGCTGCTGGTGATTCTTGTCTCAGAAAGCTAGTCTCACATGAAATAAAGACCTGGGACAGGACATTGGGAGTGGGGAGGACTGCAGAGAGAAACCCTCACTAACCCTACTCAGTAACACAACTCCCTTTCTTCACACTGTTGCACTAAGGAAATAATATGCCTTGCGAGTTTCGTA